GTGTGTGTGTGTGTGTGTGTGTGTGTGTGTGTGTCTGTGTATAAATGCATGTATATTTATACACATATATATATATATAATATAGATATAAGGAAATATTTACGTGAAGTGATTTACAACAGATTTGTATTGAATGTAATGATATATTATAGTCGGAACGAACCTGCTTGCTATTCTATTGCATACGATAAAGATACGAATGTTCAGTTGTAAAATATAGTCTCAGCGGTGACTTTTGAGTGGTCAAAACTCAAAGGCCAACAAATATGTCGGGCGGATGTTGGACAATAAAAGCACGTACTTACAATATCAAAGCTTCCACCCTTATGTACAAACTAGACACAAGTTTACACTGTGAAAGAGCACAAACGTCTCCAATTATCAGACAACTGTAAATCTTTTCCTGAATGAATGTTTACAGTTAAGAATATATTTGAATGTAGTGCATGTAGAAACGAATATATAGTGTCTTTCGAAATTTATATATAAAGTATGTATTTAGAAAGCAAAAGATACCGTATGTATTTAAAATATATGCATATAGTTTGTATTTTTGCTGGCGACATACAGTGAGTTGCTGTTGCCATGAGCACATCTCCCCTTTACAGTAGCGCTTATGAGGCTCGTCTACAATTGAGCTGTTGGACATAAGCGAGATCTTACTCGACCGTCTTCTAGTGAGTGATTCTATACGATCCATCTTAGCAGTTATTTGTTTTTGTCTTTGTGTTAAATATTATTCATATATACTATATCTGCTGTATAGCTCGATTCTCGGTATGTGCACAGACTTGTTGTCATGGAATGAATTGTTGTGCAGAGGATACACCCGGGCTGAGATGATGTTACGCTGAATAATGTCGTGAAGATAGGGTTGTGAGGGATCAGACTATCGGCTCCAGTTGTTCTAGTCTGCAGTCTGCAGCCTACGCACTTGCAATGCCTTGTGCACTGTGGCCTGTGATGAGCGCTATTTATTTAACATACACGCATAGTAGGAAGAAATAAATATTTCAATATTTAACGTTGAAGTGTTCTGCGGTCATCCTGCAGTAAACGTTGAACACGAACGCAAAATTGATTTTAATAGGGCCCAAGTGGTCTGTGCAGTGTACACCCGCTTCAAGGGATTCACGAGAAGCCTAAATGGGTTTTCATTGACTACAATCGTCATTTGATAGCGATTTCCGAATATAATTGGACAGTTCTAGCTGCGACTTTGATTTTCCGAATGGTTGATTTGTTATCATTGCAATTGTCAAACTATCACTGGTTCATAATATTATAAGATGCCGTACCCATATTAGGAGTTTTAAATATGGCGCGTTTACATATACAAAAGACTGTTGACACTTGAGAAGTTGAGTCTTGACAGGTGAATGAGTTGACAAAGGCTAAAAATATAAATTTTTAAAAATATATATAAATATGCTTTTTATATTTATTTTGTTATTTTACTATATTTCAATTTTATGGGTGGGCCCGATGGCTGGGCCGCTGGGGGCCGTGGCCTGTGGGGCAGTCGCTCTGAGGAGTGGCGAGTGGCGAGTGGGGTGCTGGGGTCTGGGGATCTGAGGGCGGGGGGCCGGTGGCTGTCTTGTGACAATGATTTGTTTTTATAAATAAAAACAATATAAAAATTAAAAATAAAAGAGCATTCCCTCGAAAAATATTAAATAGTATTTGCTCGCGTTAGCGCGCTCGGCCGTCGGCCTTCGCCCTTCGGGCGAGTCGGGCCATAAATAACAACTCTACAAACAACTCGAGACCAAAACGTCATATTTACATAGTAAATGCATATATATATACAGAACTATAATAAACGTTTTTATATTTGCACATAAATACACACTGAGAAATAGTTATAAAAAAATAGAATACAGAGTGTGTTGTTCATTTTTCAGAGGGCTACGAGTATTTATAGGAAAGTAAAACTAACCTGTACTGTACACCTAACCTCATATCGTTATAAGTTGCAACGCAAATAAATGATCCGTTAAACGTTGAAAATCAAATGTATACTTCCCTTTAAGTGTCCCGTTTATATTTATAGGGCCATATTCCAGGTTAAGTAATAGGCATGTACATACCAACATTTTGTCCTGACGACACATTCTTATACTGAAAGCTGAGACCGAAAGTTTTACAATAGGTGCACTATTCAGGTCATAGTATACAGGTTAAAATACACCAAAATACGTTGCAACGCTAAAAATAATTCGTTAAACGTTGCAGTTATGACGATAGCTGTACATTGTACTTACAACAGTCAGCACCTTTCTTGTTTGGTTGTGGTATATTTTATAAAAAAGCAAAACCAAACAAATGCTTTACTTTTGAATTTTGGAAACCACAAATTGATTTTATTTTGGAATTTTTATAACCCAACCAATAAGGGGTGGGGACGGAGTTTTAAACAACTCCATAGTTTTCATAGGCTTCTGAAAATTGAACGTTTTGTCATTTGTAGCCTTTCTTTTTTTTAATTTTAATTCTTTTGGTCAATGTTTCTTGATGCTTGCTTCCAGTTTTTGAAGAAGAAAAAAATACTTGCTTCTGCTGCAATTACAAATATTGAACCGTATTGGCTTTGTATATTTAATATGCGGGCGGCTCACGAGTGTGTGTCAGTATACTTGCTTACGCACCTGTGTCAATAGTCAACGTATATTAGACGTGGATACGTAGATACAGACATATATACATACATTCATACATTCATACATATAAATATATATATATATATATGTATAGTGAATGTATAGTGAATATATAGATACATACATATCTGTATATATATATATAATATAATATAATATTAGACGTGAATATATATCCACACACACACATATATATATATATATATATATATATATATATATAATTATACGATATACGACTACGAAAATAAGTGTATAGCTTATTAAGTAATACACCTGCAATCTGGGTATCTTATACAATGCACGCGAAGTCATCGAAACCGGGGCTCATTGCCTTGCTTGCACTTGTGCATATAGCAGATGGCTTATACACTGCAATATACGAATACCCACTTACGTGTGCCACTGGATCCCACAATGTAACAGCACTGTCCCACATGGAAACGCGGGGTGCGTATGCTCAGTATTACCCTAGTTACTCTGTAGCGGGCAATTGTGTTAATAGTGCGCTCCCGAACCTGGCCCATATACACTACGACCGTGTAGAGAACGGCGTTGATATGCAAACGATTGGAAATATCAAAGTAAGCTGTAAAAAAGGCGTTAGGCCAAGCCATTCAAGTTTATGTACGATGGTCGATGCTTGCAATCGTGTATGAGTGTGCTTATTTTGATTTTGCGTACTTGACGACCAATACACTTGACTTGCGTGATGTGTATGACATGAGATCCTGTTACTTAAGTCAGATTCTATTTTTTATGTTTATGATTTTCCGTGATAATTGAAGTTAGTGTGTGATTGCTTTTCATTTAACTCTAGTGTTGCTATCACTGGCGATTATTATTTGGTCAAGGAATGGACTAGTAGTTTTGGAAAGGCCTGCGTCAATGTACTCTAATTATACCACAGTAAGAGGTTCGTTTCGTTATGGATTAAACGGTGTAATCGCTTTCTACACGGCTGTCATTGTGCTCAAATGTTTGGTCATAAATGATGTTGATTGCCCGAAGGTGTCTAGATTGTTCAATTTGTTCGCGTTCATGTAACTGGGGGCGTACAAGCATGCTTAACCCGTATTCGGTTCTCTCAGGAGGTCAATCAAGCACGCGATAGGTACAGCTGCCAATGCGACTTCGGGGTGTCGATGGTATGTATGCAGCATGATTCTAAGCAACACCACACTACCTTAAACTTTATTTAGGGGGCAGTCGATCCGACCGGTTTTCATTATAGCGCGCCCGATTTGTACGATTACTTTTTCGTACGCTGGTCATATAGAATGGTATTCCCGTGCTCAGGATGGTACCAGATGTGGACGAACTCTGACGACGGAATAAGGGTGTATATGAATAATGTATTGGTTGCCAATGACTATTCGTGTCATGCTGCTCAATTAAAGGCGTTTAAAAGTATGTAGTTTGTCAGATGAGACATTTTCATTTTGTTGACCAGTATCGAAGCATTCAAGTATCAGTTGTGTGAATACCGGAACTGACTTATTGGTGATTTCATCATTACACTCGCTACGTTGTTATTATGTGATGTTTGGAGTCGTACTTACTAGCTCTATATATACGCATAGTTCTATAATCATGTGGTTCGTCCTCCCTTCCTCTGTGCGAAACAACTGTACAATGGTGGTATGTGAGACGCCAACGAATACTCTATTTATATGATTCCAGGTGGGAGTTTTTGGATGGATGCTGGAACTGTACGGGCCTTTGAGGTGAATTTCTTTGAGAAGGGCGGCGATGCTGTAGCACGACTGGAATGGCGATACTCAGCTACAAACTCCTTCTTAGGCAGCACAACGATCGTTCCCTATCAGTATATGGTCCCAAGCATGACTGCAGAGGTACGCATGACATTTCGTCACAATGTAGGAGGGCGTCCGTATTAGAAATAAGTAATACCTACACAGGCTACCATCATCAAAAGACAATAGTCCGTTGAGATGTTCTTCCAAGTATTTATAACGCCTGGCACACGGAATGGTACACCTAGTTGTTGGAGCTCTGATGTTTCTATTTCATATACATTGTTTGCCATCTGTTAACACGAGGCTTAGTAGATATATTTTGGATCTATTGCAGGTGCTGGTTACCACACACAATACAATTACCGTGAGTGGCAAACCCGAAATTGAATATTTCGAGGCTCGCCTTTCAGAAAAGCCAACTGAAACCGTATACGTCGATATCTTCAACCTGGCCGGAGGGGACATCTTTGGCGTTGATAAGTGCGTTCTGGTATTCACGCCTGAGAATTGGGAGACTCCGCAGGTACATTGATACGGTTTTTTTTGTTTTTTTGTTTTGTTTTGCCTTTGGTATATATATATGTATATGGCTTGTAAAGGTATGTCATAGCCGATGGAAGCAAGCTATCCACTTCGAGGTGCCACGAGTGACCGTTAGAAACCACACTTTGGATTGCACACTTGGCAGCATTGAGCATTCTTAGCAAGTTGTGGGCTGATTGTACCTTCAACTTGCTCCCCGAGAATTCAATTCAACGGTCTCGATCTTTATGAACGATAAGAGCGCGTGGCCTTTCGGCTAGAATATGATCACAATCACCACACTACGAGCTCGGACTATAAGACTCTGCATACGAGTGCATCGAAATCTTCGTAGACCAATACGTAATGTCGCCTAATGTTAGTAAACCTTCTGTATAACCATGTCCCAGAGAGTACACGTTGCACCGATTCTGGATTCCGTATCCAACCGGAAGGTAGAAGGGACTATGTGGATCACACTGGAGCCCAGAGACAATGACCAATTTGCTCCCGGGGGTGTGGCAGTGATTGACCCAGCCACAGCCCCTACCGCCGGTGGTTTAGAACCAGGCAGAGTGCAGTGTAAAGGGTGGGGAGATCCCCATTACACCATGTTCGATGGAAGCAGATTCAATCTGTACGCCCAGGGTATGTTCACACTGTTTCGTAACTACGATGGAGACCTGGGTGTGCAAACATATCTGCAGCCGTGCGATGACATCGGTGCACAAGTCAGTTGTACGTTCATTGGGTACATGACCTACAAAGGCACCAAGGTGCAATTCAGTATGAACCAGGGCACTTCCTTCGATGATATTTGGTATGTTATTTTCAACCAAATGACCTGTTCCTGAAGTGTAACCGTGACAGTTTTGGTAGCTTTCTGTTGGCTTTTGAGTTAAGCGTAGCTTGATTATCAGCTCGGACTGCTTGGACCTTCACCTTATTGCGTTCAAATTTTCAAACTATTGTGCTATTTCGAGAGAAAAAAATCCCCGATATGATATCTAATCATATCCGATTGTTATCGCATATTCAGGGATCCTACGGTGCAAGTTGATATCCTGGCAGACGGTGGGACAGCCGTGGGCTTTACCCAGGAATCTGCGAACAAAGTGGTCTTCAGTCTGCCTAATGGTATTAAAGTAACGTGCACCACCGGCTTCTACCGTACGCAGCGAACAGATGGTGAGTCTCACATTACACTTACGCGTGACTAGGCTTAGCGGGGACAGTTTTTGTGTGAGCTAGGGTTTACGTCTTTACTTAATGGAAATTTTGTGCGAAGGAATAGTACTAAGGCAAAATGTACGCTTTAATATTCGCAGTTTTTGTTATGCAGTGATCTGGTTGGTGCCTCATAAATGAATTGTCAGACATAACTATTACGCACCTAAAATGTTCGATTTTTGTTGCTCAAGTCGTTCTGAAGAATAATTTTGTACTGGTTCATTCATACGCAGGCAACCACTGGAGGTACCTTAATTACTATGTCGAGGCACCTGCATCTCAGCAAGACAGACTGCTGGGTCTGTGTGGCTACTTCAACGGCGATGGGTCAGACGAAAATACCGATGCGAGTTGGCTGGCCACGGTATGAATCATAATGATTGCTTTGTATTGTATACGTTTCGTAATAGAATCTAATTATGATTTAACAAAATAGCTAGTGTTGTGTAGGTTTCCTAGTTGAATCTCTATGTAGAATAAACAAAATAACTAGTGTTGTGTACGTGTCCTAATAGAATCTCTGTATGATAAACAAAATATCTATCAGACTCCTTAGAAAAGGCGCTTTGAGACAGCTGCTTCCCATGACGAATGTCACCTTGCAGTCTTCCGATTCTTCTCTTGTATCACTGCGCATTGCTAGGAGTGGATTGTTCCCTCGTCGGAATGGATCATCAACGGTGGCATGAATCCAATGGTCGGTCCTTCCCCGTCGCCTCAAGTAGTTGGTACTGGAGAAGTGGACTCCTCCGATTACGTATCGCCTAATGATGGGACTACCATTGATAACTTTGTCTTCGAGCCTGCCTGTAAGTATATGATACCGTGTGAATTATGTTCAGGTTTTGCATGCTTTCTATGAGATGCGGGTATGTCCCTCCTATCAATGTATGAGTAAGAGATGTTGCTGCATGCATATACGTTGGATTTATGAATTGTCTATTATTTCAATTCAACACTAATATCCATGTTTGTGTTTCGCGATACTTCGATCACAGGCAATCCAAATGTGGATCCCCGCTCGCCCCTACCAACGCCTGTTCCTGGGGTAAGTTCGATCGCTATCTACTTTTAAATAGCTTGAGTCTCGATGATCTAATTTGCATATATATCTATCTATCTATATATATATATATTGTAGAACGTATCAGTGTATTCAACACCTGCCGGAGTTACAGGCATAAGATACAAATTCTCTTGCAGTTTTGTAAGTCTGAATAATCAAGTTAGAGTACTTTTCTAACGCAGAATGCTATTGGGCAATACGCTACACCGGACTGAGAACATACCTGTCGATTTTATTATGTTTGTGCTTTTGCTGCCCCTTGCTTTTACTCTAGTTGTTTTTGACGGGGGCTTCTCGGTGTCTGCGCTCACCAATACGCTACAGATATGACAAAAAATCAAGACAGGCATTTTGTTCAAGTATACAGACGCTTAAACTGAATTACACTTTATATCAATAGCTAAACCGCACTTTTTATTCTTGCTTGTTTGCAGACACCCCCAGTCGTACTTATACCACCAGCACTTAACGAGTCGTATGTACCGATTGTCGACCCTCCGCTTGACCCTGCTATCCAAGAACTGTGCGAAGCGATGATCAACTCGGAAATCTGTCCGAAGATGAGTACCCAGGATATCACCGGCTTCGTGGAAGGCTGCACAATTGACACTCAGCTTGCATTGGTATGTATTTGTCAGTATATTTAAACGTTGACTTGTATGTAAATTTGTTTGTCAGCAAATGTACGAACCATTTTTACTCAAATATACATAATCCAACAGTTCAGATCTTGTAGGGACGCAAGGTACACCGCGTGCATATAATCGTGTTGATCTTATACTTTCACATATATAAAACCGGAGACGTCTAAAATAGTTTGCCAGTGACTTCGTTTGAAAGGGTGACACTTACGTGTAGTCGACATAGTTTTATAGGTCTGTTGAATTCATGTGTATATGTGTATTAGCGACCTTGAGTGCAATTTACAATCATTCATCCTTGAAATTAAACACATAGTGAGTAAATATTTGCAGCATACAAATTTGTCATTTGTATCTGTAACAATTGAATTCGATGTACACTCTGACCATCGGTGCCTTGTGCATTGCTAGCTGTTCGCTTTCACCGCCATTTCCATATGCATATGGCTTACCAATTTTATTTTACTACTTGTCATTAGCTGGATACTCCACCTCCTGAGGCTGCCGAACCCTTCTTTGAGGCTTGTACCTTCGACACGGCGAATGTTAACGAATGTAACACATGTACCGCTCTACAAACATGTGACGAAACCGGTTCATGTGTGACTGTAGGAAGCAACTGCGGGTCTGGCTGTGGCACACCCGAACAGGGCACTTGTGACGAGAATAATGCCGTGTGTGTGTGTACCGAAAACTACAGTGGAGACCACTGTGGTATCCCCGATGATCCCTGTACAGCATCGCCGTGTGAAAATGGAGGCGTGTGTACAGCTGAAGGTCTGCAGCCCATGTGCTCGTGCCCGGAGAACTTCACGGGAGTGCGGTGCCAGTTGTACCCTGTATGTTCGAACAGGCTGCAGGAGACTGGCACTACCAGGCTGATTCAGTTGGAAGTGTACACCAAATGCGTGCCTCCTTAGGCCGGGCATTGTGGGCAACAATGCATACCTGCATAAATTTAGACTGCCATCTGAGCTCAATAATTAGTAATCATCAGGTAGCCAAATATGGCACCAAGTTATGAAATTATAGACTCTACGATGAAATAGGACCGATCTTTTATTCTCAAGCATTGTACTTAATGAGACAGCTAAAGATCTGGCTCCACGATTCTAAGTTACTTCTACTGAAGTCGATCTATCTAGTGTATGTAACTATTAAACGTATTGATGAATGAAATTAGTTATCATGTGTACAATGAAGGTTCGCTGTTAGTCGAGAATCGCACTTATTTCAGCGAGGTGAACTCCTTTATTTCAGAGCATCTGCCAGGAACGATGGTATTATCGCCGTCTGCGAGTGTGTAGCATCTAGCTGCCCGTTTTGTCATTCATTTTGGTTCCACGCCCATCACCCCAGCCGACTGTTTTCGTATCTTTCAGCAGATGTAAGAGGATTTGTCACTATGAATGATTTGTACCAGTAATTCTTACTCAACTCCAACCGGCTGTTTTTATACCTTTTACCCCGTGTAAGTATGAATATAGCCCAGTACATTAGTCATTTATTAACCTCGCCCATTGTATTACGTCTTAACACGTGTTCAATCTGACTCAAAATGATGATATTATCGCTACAAAGTAAGATTTTGACTTACAGACTTTTAAACGTTTGGGTAAGTACGATGGCCTTTCATTTAGCATGACCTCGCGTTCCCGTCGTATACGCAGTTAGTCGCCATAGTATACGGTGCCAATATAAGTGAGCAGCTATGGTCGCAGCGTTAAAAAAATTACGGAACTTGTAACACCAGGGCATACAGTCGCCCTGATCGCGCTCAGTCATGATTTTCGCTATCCAATCATGAGCAACCTTTGCAATGGCTTCAGCCGTGTCATTGGCTTGGTGATTATCGGTAGTGACAGTGGCATTGTGCAATTCTCCGCCCGATTCTTTGACGAAGTCTTTAAACTCCTGTGCCATAAAGACAGAGTTCTTGCAACACGTGTACATTTTAGGCTGACCCCACTGGTGCACCGCCTCATTGAGCAATTTGATAGCCTGATTGGCGCGCTTTGAGCCAGAAGGCTTCACCAGGACTAAGGATGTTGCCTTAGTGATCCTTATGACTAACAAAAAAAATAGCAAATGTAGCGAAATCGGACAGGTTGTTGGAGTAAATCGCATTCTTTCGTTCCGTGAGGTGCACGGATCTGACAACGGTGGCACGATCGCTTGATCATTCGCACCATGTATAGTAGTCCATCCTACCCATACTGTAAGTTTCGGTCTATCAAGGCGATATTAACGCCTTAGAGTAATCAAACGCTTAGGTTAAGTCTAAGGATAGTTAAATTCGAAATAAATATGGGAAATGAGCCTTTTAGTAAAGTTAGGTATGCCTCGTGAAAACAGCAATACTCTGAGGGATTCTGAGGCTGAGACATTGCCTATATATAATCCTCTTAGTACTATTTTCGCCGAAGGGATTTTATTTAGTGTTTCGTTGTCGCTCTATTAGAAACTATGGCATGTTTCATTGGGGCGAATCCGAGAGACTCATAAAATCCTATCTTTAGAAAAAGAAGAAGAAAAAACAATACTCCTGATGTCCGTAGTTATTGCATTAACCAATAACTTACCACTTATCAAGAAATACCGACTTAGCCTTCATCAGACTGGCACATCTGATTGGCTGAATGGAGGATAAACTAAGCAACACTAATAGTCCTTAGAGACCTATGTTCGGTTGAGCCATCTCGCTACCGAAGTATTCAGATATAAATAGATTTGGAAAGTACTTATAGTTCTATTGATAGAACTAGACCAAATCTTTTGTTTGGTATTTTACTGAGGCCTTTTAATGGCCTTGTCCAAATATCTAATATGTAAAATGGAAAAGGTATTAATTCATAAAACCGTTAAAACCCATTTAGGAAACGGTAGTTCCTCGTACTATTAAGAGTACGTTTATAGTTTACGTACTGCTTAAGAGTACGTTTATAACATAGAGTCTAATGTGGAGGCCCTGCTATTACAATACAGAGTATGCAGTTTACTGACCAACTTGTCAGTATCCGCATGCATATAATGACGTTGTGAACCTCCGGCCACGAGCGGTCAACCCGCCGTATACTATACGGAGATGAGCCCTTCATGGCCCGGGTCGCAGCGATCTCAATATCCGCCCTTCACTTCGGCAGATCGTACTGTGTGGCTGCCTGCAGTGCACGGCGGCTACGCTTGTTACGCACACAACGTTTGGGTTTGTAGGATGTACTGCTGCGCGCTCCAGGGCTGCAGCCTCGGATGGTGTAGGCCGGGATGCTCTGGCCCGCGGGTTGGATCGCATGATAGAAACTCTAGCACCTCCTGCAGCTCCACCCCGGACAAACGCATTGCACTGGCACCAGAAGACGGCATAAGAGCGTCGGATCCTATAGTGGCGGCGCACCTTGGAGGAAGATGCCCGCACGCGGGAATGATAATCAGTTTTCGCAAAAGTAGCGCAAACATCGGCTCAAATTACAGTTCATTCGAGCGTATTATCTGCTTCGTCAGCAACCACCTGAGCCAGAACACAGGGAATACCTGCCCAGGGAGGCTTTAAACCCGCAAGTTGAGGGACGTCCACAATTCGTAGAAGGCGCCTCTTTTGTCTGACGGGGAGTAGTAATTCGACAGGTGGTTGTTGCCTGGAAGTACAAAATTATCGTGCGTATGCGAACCTTACCCCATATGCTCACGGTTGGCCTCGGGGGTCGTTGGTGAAATATACGGTACTGCATGATCAGAAGCGCCTGGTGGTCAGTAAATATTGTTATTGGGTAATACAAGCTGTCAAACACCGCCCAAAAGTTGTGGAGGACCTGCGCTAATCCTTCAAAAAGAAGTAGGCGACCGGCCAGAGTTCACTATTACGGAGGACATAGATTGCGCCGCCTAGACCGATGTGCTCGAATGCGATCAGTAAATTGGTACATACGCTCGCTCTGTGATTCAGGCGTTGCCAGCACTGCACATGTATTCAATCGATCATTGATCAAGTCGAACTCTTTCTGTTGAGCGGCACACCGTTTGAATCGGGTCACATTCTTAAGGAAAGCTGAAACGGGTTTGAAGATACTTGAGAAGCCAACAACATACCGCTACCAGAAACCAGCGATATGACCTCTGACTCGGCCCTGGTTATCTAGGCGGTCAACTTCGAGAAGCGTTGCCAAAAGATCAGCGGAAATTGTGACGCCTAATAGTTGTACCAACGCCCTATGACATTTTAAGGGCGTTTATAACATTCAATGTGTGCCTTGGTAAGGCCAAATGGGATGTCGTGCTTGTCGCAACGTTCTAAGTATGCGACGAGCTGGTCCCAATGCTCGGACACACTGGCAGAAGTAATCACAGTATCCTCAATATACCACTTGATGCCTTGCAATCCATCAACGAGACTTAAAGGAATCGCCACGACGCTTCGGTGATCCCAAACGGTAGTGCAAGGTACTTATGCCTACCTCACGGCGTCCAGAAAGTAATGATGTCCTGATTATCTTGCTCGAGTGGGAGATGGTTGAACTTATTTCTACAATGGACAATGGAAACCTACATCTTACCGCCCACATGTCTGATCAACATCTCACGCTCTGTAGGGATGTTGTACGGTTCTTACTTGAGCTTTGCTTTTCACTTAGCAAAGTTGGTACAGAATCGCCAGTCATACTTTATCTTGGACTCTTGGGTACCATGAGGGACTTAGTAGACCAGAAGACCACCTCATTCTTCTGCTTGGCAATGATGCATTACTGGGCCAAATCTTTGATCTTTTCCCTCCGTTAGACCATATATAATAATGTATGAAGTAACTTTCTCCATCCTTCTACTTTTTTCAATTATTGGGATCTCCTTGTATAATGTACTTTCCTAAAACAACCAACTATAGATTTCCCATCCTCGCGTTCCCCTTACTTCTACAATCAGATGTTCCAATTTGTGAAGAATAGGACTTCAGTTTTCAACTATGAAATTGGTATGTCTTATTAGTACCAGTGCTCGGCACTATTCTTTACTAAAATGCCTAAATTTATTACAGATGTAATACTTAACATTGGCAAAGTCTCTTCTAGGAGAACCACCAGGAGTAAGAGGTGCCGAACGAGATCGTGATCTGTCACTATGACGTGAACGTAGCGTTTGTCACAATCCAGAGGCGTCTCTACTGTAGGAAAGGTATTGTTAGCCGAAGAAAAATGACCTCGTGGAGCCCTATCTACATCTTCACTTTCACTACTCCTTCTACAGTCCCCATGTTGAGAACCTTAGCTACTTTTGTAATCCCGTCCGATTTAGACAAGCAAAATGGCCAACATGAATTATTATTTTTTGCCTGAATTGCCTTTGTTATTAATTTCTTTCATAAAAGATATTGCTTTAGCAAAACCCGCATACTTGTGGAGAGCCAGAAATGCCGATCTCTCAATGCCTGTTAGACTCACATCGAAGAAATACACCTGCCTGGTATGCATTTCATCTGCCACGACTTTGATCAGTCCGGGGTTGCACATCAAAAGTTCAAACATCTTTAGGGCATAATAAGCATCTGCTACCAAAAGAGAAATAAATGCATGCACCGACGTACAACCCATTGCAGTCGTATCCGCCAAATGATTTTCTATTATCTGGTCCGTAATACATTTGGTTGGGAAAGGGTCAAAGTACTCATCATAGTCATGCCATCCCCCAATCCGATAATCTATGTAAAACTTGTCAGGCTGCTCCGAACCCCATTCTTTCTTATTCGGGTTCCAGACAAATCAATCACCATTTATAAGACTCCTTTTGACCCCAATGACCAAAAGCAACTTGTTGGTCCCGAATAATCCAACGCTTCCGGGATAAAGAGAAGCGAAAAGGATCTATTTGTCTAGGCGGACGCCTCTACTGGAGAGTAATAGAAGGCTCTACCGTCTGAGCTAAGGTCTCCGGCCGATCCAAATGTAGCAAGGATTCGACGAGGTTCAGAGTAGGTGAATCTTTCTGTTGAAACTCCTTAGAATGTAAAAGACGATCGCTCAGAGTTGCCTCAGCCGATTTATCTTCCATCAGGGATAACAAAGCCTCAAGACAAAAGCTACAAAGCCTGCTCCACCTGGAGTACCAAAAAGGGTTCAAAAAGGTTAACAAACATTTGGAACTGAAAAGGCCACTACCAGTAAAATTAATACCCAATTGAATAAAGATATTGGTTCTTAATCTCGCACCGCAGCAATACACGGCCAAATTGGTAGTGATACCAAATAGCAGAGTTTCCAAGGAACCTTTGACAAAAACTTCGAATCATAAAACTTATCCGGCTTTTTGCTTAAAATAAGTAAAGCGACCAATTAAGGTATTAGAAAACAATATTTTAAAAAATACGGTAGAAAGCGCAAAATTACACACTTACAAATATATTAACAACCACTCGACACTTTACAAGCCGTAAAGTAGGTTTGAAAGCAATCGAATTGTAAGAGGGTAGTGAATCATAGTTGTATAGTTGTTTGACAAATTTATTCGATTGTATTTTCGAACTATTTTACAGAGGTAAGTGCCAAGTATACTACCAACGTCTTACAATTTAATAAGCCGCTGTTCCTACGGTTTCTTACTTGGCTATATTTAGTCTACAAGCTTTCATCTATTAATAATCTACTGATTATATTTCATCACTCCATCTGATTGGATGATGGACCTCAGTCCATTAGTTTGATATCAGGACATTTAAATCTCTGGGTCTGCGTCTCAGGCTCTGGGCAGTAAGGTTTTACACAGTTGTGTAGAAAACAATAACTTAAAAGATACGGTAGAAAGCGCAAAATTACACACTTACAAATATATTAACAACCACTCGACACTTTACAAGCCGTAAAGCAGGTTTGAAAGCAATCGAATTGTAAGAGGGTAGTTAATCATAGTTGTATAGTTGTTTGACAAATTTATTCGATTGTATTTTCGAACTATTTTACAGAGGTAAGTGCCGAGTATACTACCAACGTCTTACAATTTAATAAGCCGCTGTTCCTACGGTTTCTTACTTGGCTATATTTAGTCTAAAGGCTTTCATCTATTAATGATCTACTGATTATATTTATCACTCCATCTGATTGGATGATGGACCTCAGTCCATTAGTTTGATATCAGGACATTTATATCTCTGAGTCTGCGGCTCAGGCTCTGGGCAGTAAGGTTTTACACAGCTGTGGGCGAAATTGAGAGGTAAGTGGCCAACGAATGAATTACCGCTAACCTGCCACCCCGGTCAACCGCCTGCGGCCCGTCAGCCGTCAGTCATCACTCGACTCGTTAGTTGTCTGCTTTACCTTTATCGAACAACAAAATATTTATGTTTTAGGGCGCCGGCCCATACTCGAAGTAGCAAGAACTACATACCCTGACTCCAAGTTTTAACTGAAAACTAAACTGACTAAAATTCTCAATATTCTACAGAATGTCAAGGATAAATCAGTGTCAGTTTATATGATGTACATATTTAGGATGTTTAGGTGACAATTCACCTCAGATTATTTCTGATGGTATATTGTTCTAAATATGTATACTTGGTGGGTAAGCTAAGGCAGTATGGTCATGTGTGCTGGTCCTTTGAAACGTATTTGAGATAAACCAATGTCTAGAGTACAGGCGCATACACACTCGTAGACTCGCCATACGTATACAAGTAGTATTAGATACATATACGAAATACAATATACGCCCCGTTAAATACATTGCGACTCTCGTTTCCGAAAGCAGAACAAATCGAACCTTCAATATCAACCTGGTATCGAAAAGAAACCCTATTCGCTACTGCGCTTATTAGCTTTGTGCACCATATAGCTTGTCTCCAGTGAAAGTAAAGTGTTTGCAACGCCACAAAATGCTGGTGGCCAAAAAGTGTGCAGCTAGATCCTCATCTGCCTCACCAAGTACAATGCTTGAGAATAAAAGGCAGGTCCAACTGCATTGTAGAGTCTATAATTTATAGTTTGATGCAAATTTGGCTACATGATGATTACTAATTATCATGCTCAGATAACAGTCTAAGCTTGCCCTGAAAAAGGTCGAGGTCAGCCAAACAGACATTAAACATATCTGAGATGCGCCGGTACATATTATCCAGCAAGCGCTCAACGATAGCTACATGGATCGTGAAGGAAGATATCCGTACAATCGACCCAAATAAAATAGATCATTGGCCATAGGGAGAAGGAGGGCATGAACAGAACGGAAAATCTGATCCGCGTCGAGAGTTGCAGGGAGCATATCGTTGGTTTTGAAATCGTGGGTGGCGAGAATAGATTGAGTGCCACGCTTCCAATTTCTGGTTCGAGGTTCTCCATAGAAAAGCTCCGAACGTTCAGGGGGCCATACACGCAGACTTTCATCCCATATGAAATCATCATTCCAATCTCTCATCATTTTGTTACGGTATACCCATTTCTGGACTGAACTGGACCAGCGGAAAGGTCCCACTGGTTTGGCAG